AGAAACTCTACAGGCCAGAAGAGAATGGGATGATATATTTAAAACACTAAAAGAAAAAAACTTTCAGCCAAGAACACTATACCCAGCAAGGCTATCCTTCAGAAATGAAGGAGAAATAGTACATTTTTCAAACAAAAACTATGAGAATTCACCACCACATGACCAGTCCTACAAGAAATCCTCAAGGGAGTCCTACATCAAGAATCCAAAGAACAATAATCACTCCCATGAAAACACAAGAAAGAAAAAAACCCACTTGTAGAACAAAAATGCAAACAAGAAAGTGAAAGAAACTATTATCTTGCTACCTCCCCAAACCAACAAACACCAAAGAAAAACAATAAAAGGGAAGAAAGAAACAAAGGATATTTAAAATATCCAAATGAAAATTGATAAAATGCCCAAAGTAAGACAATACCTTTCAGTAACCACCCTAAATGTATATGGATTAAATTACCCACTCAAAAGACACAGACTGATTTATTGGATTAAAAAATTAGACCCAACTATATGCTGCCAACAAGAGACTCACCTCACCTGTAGAGACTTACACAGACTGATAATAGTGAAAGGATGGAAAAAGATATACCACAAAAATGGGAATAAAAAATGAGCAGAGTATATATTCTTATATGATATTAAATAGACTTTAAACCAAAAACTATAAAAAGAGACAAAGAAGGTCACTATGTAATGATAAAGGGACCTATCCAGCAAGAAGACATAGCAATCATAAATATATATGCAGCCAACATATATGTCTGGAAGCACCCAGATATATAAAACAAGCACTATTAGACCTAAGGAAAGAGATTGACCCAAACACAATAATAGTTGGGGGCCTGAACACCCCTCTGTCAACATTAGACTGATCATCCAGGCAACAAATCAACAGAAAAACACAGGAGTTAAACCATGCTTTACACCAATTGGACTTAGCAGATATCTAGAGAACATTTCATCAAACAACTACAGCGTGTATATTCTTCTCATCAGCACATAGAATGTTCTCCAGGATAGGCCACATACTAGATCACAAATCAAGCCTCAACAAATTAAGAAAAATGGAAATCATTTCAAGAATTTACTCAGACCACAACAGATTAAAACTGGGAGTGAATAACAAGCAAAACTCTGGAGATTTTACAAACACATGGAAATTAAACAATATGCTCTTGAATGGCATATGGACCAACAAGAAATTAAACATGAAATCAAAAAATTTCTTGAAACTAATGAAAATAAAGGCACATCATACCAAAACCTGTGGGACACTGGAAAAGCAGCACTAAGAGGGAAGTTTATTGCAACAAATACTTACATCAAAAGAACAGAAGATTTCAAATTACACCACAAAGATCTGGAAAAACAAGAGCAATCCAACCCCCAAAATAGTACAGAAATAATTAAGATCAGAGAAGAACTGAATGAAATAGAGACACAAAAAATGCTACAAAAGATCAATTTTTTAAAAGTTGGTTTTCTAGAAGATAAACAAAATGAACAAACCATTAGCTAGGCTAACAAAAAAGAAGAGAGATGACCCAAATAACAAAAATCAGAAATGAAAAAGGAGACATTACAACCAGCACAACAAAAATGCAAAGAATCATTAGATGCGATATGCCAACAAATTTGAATTTCTGGAAAAAGAAAAAATAAAAAAGAAAGATACAACACTCACAATAATATGTTGAACTTTCAAATGGAGAGAACAGAACTGAGGCCACCAGAGGTGGAAAATGGGGAAAAGGGGAGAAAAGGAGGAATTGGTAAAGTGCCACAAAAAACAATTACATTGTATTATGTTGAATATACTAATTATCCTGATTGGATGTAGCATATTGCACACAGGTAATGATATTCAACTCTGTACCTCACAGATATATAGAATTGACTATGTTATAGTTAAAATGTATATACTACCCAAAGCAATATACAGATTCAATGTAATCCCCATCAAAATACCAATGATATTTTTCACAGAAATATAAAAAAAACTTAACATTTGTATAGAACAGCAAAAGACTCCAAATAGCCAAAGAAATCCTGAGCTAACAAAATAAATAAAACCAGAGGCATTACACTAGCTGACTTCAAACCATACTATAAAGCTATAGTAACAAAAACAGCATGAAACTAGCATAAAAACAGAAACGTGGATCAATGGAACAGAATAGAGAACCCAGAAATCAACCCAGGGGCTTATAGCCAACTAATCTTTGACAAAGGCACCAAGAATCTACATTGAAGAAAGGACAGCCTCAAGTAAATGGTGGTGGGAAAACTGGACATCCATATGGAGAAGAATGAACTACACCCATACCTCTTGCCATATACCAGAATCAACTCAAAATGGATTAAAGACTGAAACATAAGAGCTGAAACTGTAAAACTCCTAAAATAAAACAGGGAAAACACAAAAGGAAGTAGGACTGGGCAAATACTTTATGAATATGACCCCAATGCTCAGGCAACAAAATGCATAAACAAATGGGATTATATCAAATTAAAAACTTCTGCAAAGCTAGAGAAATAATTAACATAGTGGAAAGACAACCTACAGAGTGGAAGAAAACATTTGCAAACTATGTATCCAACAAAGGGTTAATATTCAGAATATACAAGGAACCCAAACAACTTGACAGTAAAAACAAACACAAACAAACAAAAAAAACCAAGTAACCCAATTAAAAAATGGGCAAAGGAGCTGAATAGGCATTTCTCAAAGGAAGATCTAGCCATGGCCAGCAGACACATGAAAAAATGCTCACCATCACTCAGCATCCAGGAAGTGCAAATCAAAACCACACTGAGATATATCTCTCCAGTTCGGCTGGCCATTATAAAAAAGACAGAGAATAACAAATGCTGCCAAGGATGCAGAGAAAAAGGAACCTTCTTACATTGTTGATGGGAATGTAAATTGGTGCAGATATTGTAGAAAACAGTATGGAAGTTCTTCAAACAACTATAGATAGAACTGCCATATAATCCAGAAATTCCACTACTGGATATATACCCAAAGGAATGTAAATCACCATGGTGAAGGGATTCCTGCACCCCCATGTTTTTAGTAGCTCTATTTACAATAGTCAATAATTGGAACCAAACTAAATGTCCATTGTCAGAAAACTGGATAAGGAAAACGTGGTATATTTATACAATGGAGTACTACACATCCATAAAAAAGAATGAAATACTGCCATTCACAACAATATGGATAAACTTAGAAAAAATCATGTTAAGTGAAATAAGCCAGGCACAGAAAGAGAAATACTGCATGTCCTCACTTATAAGTGGGAGCTGAAAATAAATAAATAAACTAATAAATATAAAAAAAGTAAAGAGAGAAAGATACAACAATCACAATTATATGTTGAACTTTCAGAAGAATAGAACAGAACTGAGATTACCAGAGGTGGGAAAGGGGGAGGAGGAGGCTAGAAAAGGAGAAATTGGGGCTGACTCTGTGGTGCACTCGGGAGAGTATGGCGCTGGGAGCGCAGCAGCGCTCCTGCCGTGTGTTCAGATCCTATATAGGGATGGCCGGTGCACTCACTGGCTGAGCGTGTTGTGGCCGGTCACAAAAAAAGACAAAAAAAAAAATAAATAAAAAATAAGGAGAAATTGGTAAAGGGCCACAAAAATCTATTACAATGTATAATGATGAATATACTAATTATTCTGATTTGAAGATCACATATTGCACATAGTTATTGATATTCAGTGCTGTACCCAAAGATATGTACAAGCAACTGTATTCCAATAAAAAATTAATTAATTAAAAAAATAAATATAAAAATAAAACAGCTCTGTGGAACTCTCTATGGCTAAAAAATAAAAAACTAATAAATAAAAAGTAAAGGAAGAAAGAAAGATACAACACTCACAGTAATATGTTGAACTTTCAAGTGGAGAGAACAGAACTGAGGCCACCAGAGATGGGAAACGGGGAGAAGAAATGGGAGAGAAAGGGAGGAATTGGTAAAGGGCCACAAAACCCAATTACATCGTATTGTGTTGAATATACTAATTATCCTGATCGGGTATCACATATTGCACACAGGTAATGATATTCAACTCTACACCTCACAGATATATAGAATCAACTATGTTATAATCAAAATAAATAAATAACAAATGATTCGGTGAGTGTTCCTGGCATCGGTTCTCCAAGTTGAGAGCTGTTGGAGTTGAGAGCCCTGTGGGTCTTCTGAAGCAGTACAACACCATCGCATGTTTCTCCTCCTCCTCTAAATTGCGCCTTCTGTGATCTTATCATGTAGTTTTCATTAGTAAATACTTAATGGCTGGTAAAATGTACAATGAACAATTTCTTAAAATCGCCCCAGGATTGAGAGCTGTATTACAGTTTCCATGTGAGATTAAATTTTCTTGCCTGAGCTCAGATCTTTTAAAAAAAATTCTTTTTAATTTAAACATAGTCGATTATACATATCTATGGGTACAATATCAGTTGATATTGAATTGAAATTGTTGAATATCGACACCTGTGTGCAGTATGTGATGCTCAAATCAGGATAATTAGTTTATTCAGCATTACACAATGTGATTTTTCTCGTGGCCCTTTACCAGTTTCTCATTAACCTCCCCCCCCCTCCCCACCTCTGGTGGTCTCAGTTCTGTTCTCCCCTCTTGAAAGTTCAACACATTATTGTGATTGTTGTGTATTTCTTTTGCTTTTTTTGTATGTTTATTTTTTAGCTCCCACTTATGAGTGAGAGCATGTGGTGTTTCTCTTTCTCTGATCCTATTTATTTTAGTTTGAGGGAGAGACAAACCACACTTCCTGGAAACCTCACTCTCTCTCTATCTTCTCTCATTAGATTCATATCCCACCTCCTCTGGTGCTTGACACATAGCAGGCACTAAGTAGACACTGGTTGAACAAATGCAGCTACATCAAGCAGAATGTAAATATTTTATTCTTTAAGGAACCCACTTCCTTCCAGAGACCACTCATTTTCACTCCCTAGGCAGGTGTACAGATTACTGAGAGTGGGAAATTCCATATCGACGGTGAAGGCACACTGACCGTCTACGACGCAGGACAGGCTGACCAAGGAACATACGAATGTGTGGCTCGGAATTCATTTGGCCTTGCAGTGGCCAGCGTGTTTCTTACAGTCACTGGTAGGTATTTATAGCTCCTTTTGCAACACCCCAATACATGTATTTGATCAACTTCTACTCCTAAACCTTACTACTAATCACCCCACTACTCATGTTCCTTTATACATTTTTTCTAGTCAAATGTGTTAGTATTAAATCAAAGTTATTTTATTATTTTTTAAATGTAAGCTCTTAAATATAAACTATGTTAATGGGCATGAAACCAAGAATAACAATGCCAAAAAGGAACATAAATAGCAAGGATTTGCAAACGTATGTCATGTTTTCTTAGAAACTGAAAATTATAGAATGCAAGATATATTCATGGCCAATATGTGAGTCAAAGATTGAAGCATAATATAGATCTTCAACATGGCCTAGTGTATTTAATTCTAGAATAAAATTAAACATCAGTCAATCAAACTTCCAAGTAAGTTTTGCGACTGTGAGAACAAATACCTCAGTGTTTGGAAGTGTTTGTAATTGGCATTGCTTTTTACACATTATCGTCAATCCGGTCATATAGCTGTAACCTTCTTTTGGCTGTTTATATATGGTGACTATTAATAAAAAATGCTCGCCATAGTTTATTTAAAAGAAAGCTCCCCCCGCCCCCCCCCCCCCGTTATTCAGTTCTTACTGGAAGTGAGAGAGTGCATTTGTAGGCAGACTTGAGTGGACTGAACTGTGACCTCAGCTGTGGTTGTACAAATGCAGACAGGCTGTGATGCTCCCTGCTGTGTCCTCCATGTTCAGGAAGAGCACATCATATCTGCATGTGGGAGCTGATATCAGAGTTGCTTATTTTTGCAAATGGGATTTTCAGTTTTTGCTATATTGACAATCAGCAGTTGAAATAACTAAGTTCAGCTACAAGCACCTACATTACTATTTTGGGCTTTGCCCAACTTTCAGCTTCCTTAGAAATGGGCAGACTTCACAAATATGGATTTGTAGATTCATCTTTTCAAATTTTAGTTTATCCAGCCCTTATGGGTCTATGAAAGATTGAGTAACTTTCATTGTAAATATAGGCCTGATTCAAAATAGGTTTCATTTATGAAATCATATCCTTAAAGGTGTCATTATTTTCCTGTCCTATTAACAGCTTCATATTTTTCCACTTACATATTCTTCTGAGATACCTGGGTGATTTATATAAAATCTTTATTTTCATTAGTGGCATATCAGTCTTCATGCATATATCATACTGTGTTCCAAAAATATATTTTCTGTAGACTATTATTCTTAAAATTATAACAATGTAGTTTAGTAACCACCAAACATTTATTCTAATAGAGTTAGAAATTCTTTATCATGTAGAATTTCTTAGAGTTACAAAATCTTTTTTTTTTCCTTTTTTTGTCTTTTTCCATGTCCGGCAACGGATCGCAACCCTCAGTGTTGCCCCCGTACCGGACCGGGGACCGGCAACGGGATCGCAACCCTCGGTGTTGCTCCCACGCCTCGCTCAGCCAGTGAGCGGGAACCGGTCTGTATGTGGGATCCGAACCCTCGGGCGGGAGCGCCGCCGTGCTTCCCAAGCGGCGCACTATCCAGTGCGCCACCGGGCCGGCCCCAGAGTTACAAAATCTTAATCTTGCTCAGCTCTTCTCAATGAGTTCACGTTTCTGTTTGATTTAAAATCTATGGTGGTTGTGCTCCTGTTTATAAATTTATGGAGCTCTCTTTCTGCTCTTCAACTATTTATGAGACCAGTGGAAAAATATTCTTGGATACTTTGAAAGAAGTTATTACAGAATTTAAATTAATATCACTATGTTTTAGAGATGCCGGAAATCTTTACCATTAAACAGACAAACATTCCCTCCCTCTCTATGTCTTTCTGCCTTGCTCTGCCCCCCACCCCACAGAAGCACTGTATTCATAGTGAAAAAACATTTTGGAACCTCCAATAAAATTTTGGTTGACAGAAATTTAACTAACCATTATTTTACATGAGCAGAGCACATTAAAAGTAAAACATTCAGGTTAAAATGTATTAATCACTCTATTTATCAGATTTTAAAACAGTGATAAGTAGCATTCACCAATATTCTCTTTTCCTGTGTAGAAATCAGAAAATCAGGCCATACAGATATAATAATACCACAAAATAGAAGTTATTCAACCAAGAAAAACTTTTTTTTTGTTCTGGGGACATTTATATATAAGAAAAAATTCATTTATATTTCCATCTCATACCAAATAAATTTCATGATGTTAGAAATATTTTTTTCTTATAAAGTGAAGGAAATATATAAGAACGTAAGTTTAAAGAAATATTTTTTTCTTATAAAGTGAAGGAAATATATAAGAACGTAAGTTTAAAAGTTTTGAATAAATTTAAGATTTAAGACAAGGAGTGAGTGTGTGTGTGTGTGTGTGTGTGTGTTTACACAGCCCAAATTAGCAGAAGAGGGGGAAATATGGCATTATAAAATACCACTTATAGAGCATTTGATGACTTAGGCCTTTCATTCACTAAGGTCATTACTGTGGAAGGGACTAGTCCATGCACTAGAGGAGGAGTTTTCAATCTTGCTGCCCCCACTTAGCAGTTATGGGATGTTGTAATTCCACTGTGTAATAAGTGGTACAAAGAGGAGCATGCCTTCTGCGTTCCTATTCCACATTGGGAAATATTGTTGCTTTGCCTCCCATGGATTTGTCACCCCTTTTCCCCTGGGTGACGGAGCCACCAAAGATTATCCATAGCCCATCTCTTTTGAGCAGTGAAAAGCCCCGAAAAGGGGTGAATCTCCTGGACCCCTCAAGAGAGAGGTGTTCCTTCTATTTGAGAAATTAAACATGAATTGGGGTTCTCTTCCCACATTTATTCTCCAGACCAGGAAGTTACAGGAAAAGAACATAGGTGGGGTTTTTTCTATGTACAGTTTAACAAGTTTAACAATAGAAGCTGGTAACATTCAGTAAGAAAAGCAAGGTGATATTCTATAATGCAATTTGCAACAAAAGCTTGATTTTAGCAAACATTCTCTTCTTACAGCAATTTCCCAGTATCTTTACATATCAATCAGATATTCTATAATGCAATTTGCAACAAAAGCTTGATTTTAGCAAACATTCTCTTCTTACAGCAATTTCCCAGTATCTTTACATATCAATCAGTAACCTGTCTGTCTTTGAGCCAGCAACCTTGCTGTGTTACAATTCTTTATATTACAACAGAGACAATAGCCTGGGGGAAATTTCTTGTCCTTTGCAAGGTCAATATTTGAAACTGCAGCGCTTTGGAAAACCAGGCCCTGTGAAGTACATTTGCTTTATGCATACTCCACAAAATATAACTATAGGGCATAATCCAAAATAATAAAAAGTATGTAATAACAATTGAGGCAAAATCTAGGCCTTATATGCAAGATATGCTTTTTATTGACGGATGTTCATAGCAGGGCATTTAAGATGGCAAAAGAAAAAAAAAAGTTTCCATGGCTGTAATTTTTCAGGATGCTCTTTTTTTAAAAAGATAGATTTTTGAATTGTTTGAATAGATTTGAATAACCTGTAAGTCTGATACAGTATTTACTGGGAACCTATCCCTCTGTTTAGGATGTCCTCAATGTATTTTATTTCGATGAATATTACTCATGTCTGCACACTTTCTCTTTTTCTAGGTAATGTTTGGCATCTGAATGCTACACATTTTATTTTAGACTCAAAAAACCCCCCAACTTTTGTTCAACAACAATTTATTTTAACACCTTTTCCATATGCTGTCAACATGCTTTTAAGTGCTTTGAGGTGTAGGCCCACCTCTCGCTTGTAAAGATGGTTCAGTCAACTGAGGACACAGACGTTTATATTGAGCACTGGAAGTGTGAGAGAGTCAGAATAAAGCCCCAGGCTGGGTCATGAGACTTTATAGATCTCAGCCACTTTGAAGAACTTCCTTACCCATAAGTGGAATTAATTTCCTCATTTTTTAAGAAGGTGGTACTGGACTCTCTCAAGAGTTCTTGGCAGAGAATTTCTGTGTTTCTCTGATAGAATTCAAATGGACAACAGCAGTTAGTGAGGAAGCAGTTTATGGCATGTCTACGTGATAGAATTCCTACCACTGAGACTTTTCACTAATACATGGATGAGGTGAAAAATGTTGAGGTGACACAGGGTTTATTAAAGGAAAAATTTGGAGCACAAATAACATGTACATACTGGTTTAAATTATATAAAAATAAATCTAAATCTAAACAATGCTATCTGAAATTCTGAGTTGAGTATCTAATCATTTGTTGGACATTTCATTTTGGTTGACCCTTGAACGTATTCTAAACTCGTCTTTCCCTCAAGACGTGTATCCTCCTAGCACCCCTTAGTATTGTCAATGTTAGTGTAAGCAGGAAGCCTGAGCCCCACCTGATCCCTTCTTCTCCCTAACCTCCTTTGCCCCAACTACCACGACTTACCAGTTCTTCCTCTCAAAGACTGCTTCTTTCCCACTTTTCTTCTTCACATGACTTCCTTTTCCATAGTTCATTATTTCATCATTTTTCATTTAGGTTTTTACAATAACTTTCTAAATGACCAACCAATCTATAATATCCTCTACGACTATAACCTATCTATATATTAACCCTATCTATATATTATTATCAAAGTAAACTGAATGAAGATTTAAGGTTACATTAGTTGACTTTAAGTTAGTGAAGCTTTTTCTATAAAGCTAATTAAAGAACTTATATTAAACTTACAGTAATATTATGAATAGAAATAATAGTTAACATTTATTGGGCATTTACCATGTGATCCAAGTGCTATACATCAATTAACTTATTTGATTCTTCTGAGTTCTAGTTACTTTTCAAAATTCTGAATGAATAATTGACTGTTTGACATTTTAATACCAATATTTGTCATTGTGTAGACAAAACATCTATTTCCAAGTCACTGAAGTTTTTGCAGTTATGAGTGGACTATAAGCTTTCAAACATTTTTAATTAATTATATTTACTCAAACATATTCATGAAGTGAAACTGATAATTGAATAGTTTTAAAT